CTTTCCCCTGCCACAACCTCATCAGCATTAATTTTTTGCTTTTTTTGGTATGTTATTCTAACTGGGATTAGATGAAATATCAATATAGTTTTGATTTGTATTTCCTGATGGCTAAATATATTGAGCATTTGTCATATATTTATTGCTTGCTTGTAACAAGGATGTTTGTGAAACATCTATTCAAATCACTTGCCCATTTACTAATTGGATTATTTGTCTTTTGTTAATTTTTTATTTCTTTATATATTTTGGATATTCATCCTCTGTCAGATGAATCGCTGGGAAGGATTTTCTTCCATTCTTTAGTTTCTCTCTTCACTATGTTGATTATTTGCTGTGCAGAAGCTTTTTAACTTCATTTAACCTTATTTGTCAATTTTTGCTTTTGTTTCCTGGGCAATTGAAGGCTGAAAGCTTAGAGGATGAGCATGAAGCCCTGGGTTTGATTCCCCATGACAGCAGTAAGATTATCTTGGTGGCCCTTGTCACTGGAGAAGATCGTGAGGAAAGCTTATAAAGGATTGCCTTTGTTGCCTGATCAAGAGAATTGCCATGTATGCACTTAATTAAGAGCTGCATGATTCTGGGGACACATTTTTTTTGCTCTGGGAAACACATAGAAGATTCCAGAATTATATCTTGAGGGACATGGAATCCAGCATAGAGACTGAACAATGGCATAGGGAAAGCGAGGGAATTTGGGGGAGCCAAATATATTCTAAGTAATAAATGGTGAAAGTGTGGCAGACCACTCTCTTTCTTGTTCACATACTCTCTTTGGTGCTTCACCCATAGAATTAGCTCTGTAGATCTTGTGTTGAATCCAGTTTTTGATCGTGTTGTCCTCTCATAGAAAGGTGATAATACTGAAGCTGTTCATTCTTCACACACACAGAAATGAATTCCTCTTTTTCCCTTCTTTCTCTTACCCTCACATGAATTAAATCTTTCTATTTCCTTGTTGCCTCTATCATCCCCAAGTAAAACAGAATTCGGTTAAGGTCTGTGGGTAAAGAGGCCCATAGATCTCTTTACCCTGCAGTTTCAAATTTCATGAACTCTTAACTGGTGTTACTTGATTTGATAGTTTTACCCAAAGTGTATAAAAAGCATTGCAAACCAGGATATTTCCCCCCACTTTGGCAGCTCTTCAAGGGATAATTAGATTTCTTTCTTGGACTCACAGTAGTGGTGGAGAATGGATATGTGAAATCTGCACTACAAACAAAGTCCATAGAAGAGAACTTATTGGAATAGATTTAAGGGCAAGAAATAGGAACCATGAAAGGCTAGTAAGAAATGGGACCAGAGCTGACATTTCTGTAGCCTGTAAGTAGAAAGAAGAATGGTGTAACATCAACCTCATATCAGGAAACTGATGGGTTCTCAAAGCTTTGTTGTGGCAAACTTTAGGCAGAAAATGTCTTGCAGGCTGGCAAATATAAGCCCTCTCTACAGCTCTCTTGATGTTTACTAGATTAAGTATATTGCTTAGTTTGGTTTGTTTTTTCCTTTTCCTCTTTTTTGTTTTTTTAATTTTTCTTGAACTGCTGCAGACACAAGTGGTAATCCTATTAGATTCAACTGCATGTATAACTTTAATAATGAATGCATTGCTCAAATCACATTCTGGTGTCCTAAAAAGATGAGTTAGCTTATTTTCAGCCTCTTGGGCACAACAGTAAATAATAACTGCCCTGAACCCCGCTGGAGGAAGGAAGAGGGTTCCATTCTTTTTAACTTATCTGTAGTTTTTCTTTGTGTGATCATGTGATGCTCTCTTCTTTGTTAAACATTTTGTTTTTGGCATATGAATTTTCCTAGTAGTTTGAATGAGATATTTGAAGAGGGGATTTTTAACTGTGTTGATGAATAACTGCTCTTTCTAGAGCCAGTAATGTGATCATAAACCTGGGGAAAAATAATTTGTTTTGGAAAATGTTTTACAAACATATCAATATAACATCGGCTTTCTAAGCCTTTGCTAGAGAATATATTAGTGGTGAAATTTTACAGACCAGTAACTCATTTTTGCAACTCTTCTTTGGAACTGGTGTTTTTTGTTTTGCTTTGTTTTCAGTACTGGGGATTGAACCCAGCATGGCTGATCTAAAAAAATACTGCTTTTTGTGGCTTGTCATGTATTTCCACCCCTCATTGGTGTTCCAGGCAGCAGTGTTTCCCTCCCGTTCCAAAACCCTCTTCACTCTCTGGAATTCTACTCTTCCTTCAAGTCTGAGTTCCGCCCTACCCCAGTTTTGATGAGATCTCTGCAGGCAGAATTAATTACATTGTCCTTTTCAGCCCCACATTACTTACATCATTCACCCATGCATTGCAATTAGTTGTGCTGGTACAAGTTTTCCCACCTGGGTTCCAATGACTATTGTAGTCATAATTATTCTTTCTCCATCTCTGATCACCTCTGCTGTGACACAGTAGGTACATAATAAATGCTGTTGGATAGAGAAATGAAAGGATGAATGATAGAGAATGAAAGACATTGCATATACAGTACCTTAATGATGTGTTCTCTTCAGGTTTTACCTTCTTAATTTCCTCTTTTCCATTTAATCTAGTAGGGGGAAATCTTGAAGCTTTCTTATGTACTTCTTGTGATATGAGGCTTTTGTTATTGATGATTTGTAAAATAATCTTTATACACATTGCATTTTCTATTATAAGCAAACAGTAGTCTTAAATCATGTTTTGGTTATTTTATTTCAGATATGCTTACATATTAGGATTTTTAAAGAACATTAAATTATTGACATGATTTAATAATATATAAATTCTGTAAGGAAGAATGGCGTGGAATGCAAGTATTTTCTTGGCTGCTGAAAAAGTCCTATATTGATTCAAGATAATTGTTTATATGTGGGGGAAACATCACTTTTATCCCTATAAAAGGAACTTTTCCTAATGGGATTCTCAGATTATTAAGTCATATTTTTAAAAAATTTATTAAGTGCTGCTTTGTGATTGCCCAAAATGTTAGAAAGCTTAGTCCTAAAAACTTAATTTAGAACATTAATTTAAGAATCAATTATAAGAAATTATTTTAAAATACAGCTCCTGGGCAAAATATGAAATAGACCTTTTGGAAAATACAATACAATAAAATAAAATAAAATTTTTGAAATTAGGAAATCATTTGAGATCCTTTCTGTAACAATGCCTCGATTGCTACTCCGGAAGGAGTACATACTTTCCTTTGGTGTGTGGAGTTGGCATGAGTAAGGTATCATGCATTGGTCTTCCAATGTTGGACCCCATGAAAGGAGGTCCTGCAGGGTGCGTGGAAGTTTTTTGAACACAGATGATAGTTCAAGTACTGAACAGGTAATCCTGCACAGTAATTGCCATCAGCCATTTACTTAAGCTGCCTGGAATCTAAGGTCTCTAAATGTTAATAGGGACTTATTTATAAATCTAAAGGGTGTATTTCGGGAATGAGTCATGGTCACAATATTTCTAGACTCTGAGGACAGAATGGATAAACAGGATGACAGTGGAGGTTTCAGCTATTACCAGAGCCTTTGTCCCTGTGCTGCTACCACTGTGACCAGCTCTAAGATTAGGTTCTGCCTTATTTCCTAAAAACTGTTTTAGCTCAAAGTTGGCTTCTAAGTCCCCCAGGTGGTTTACTGTGGGTTTCAGGTCCAGATTCTTATGCTTCTGATCTTTCATTTTTAAGTCCAAGTCTGTCACCTTTTAATTGCTCCTATTTCCCTTCTGCCTATGCCTTGAGGCCTCAGTGGAAGAGTTTGGGTGGTTGGTGTCAAAGTTGAAGGCTTGTGTTCAGGCCCTTAAAATCTACATGGAAGATAAAAAGGTGCCTGCATATTAAGAAGAGATGTATTCTGTCTTCAGTTGGCCCACGAGGGTCAAATAAATATTAGAGACAATAAATCCTAGAAGAATTCAGAGAAGGAACAAAGCAGGGTAAGGCTTTGGCAGGCATATTTTAAAAGGTCAGAAAAAACATCAGGGGGCTAGGGTTGTAGCTCAGTGGTAGAGCATTTGCCTAGCACAGGTGAGGCACTGGGTTCTATCCTCAGCACCATATAAAAATAAATAAATAAATAGATAAATAAAGGCATTGTGTTCATCTACAACTAAAAAAAGAAAAGAAAGAAAAAGAAAGAAACAAAGAGTACAGAGAGTGGAGTCTGAAAGTGCTGTCTGTGAGCAGTCTGATCTGGCTGCAGGAAGTATTCCCTGTCAGGTGTAGTCCTTGATTTGGCTTCCATTAGAATTTTAGATATTACATTAAAATTTTTTAGTACAGGAACTATGCTTATTATATTAAACTCTGTGTCACAAACTGATATGCTGCAGAACATGTTTTGTAGAATGTTAATGGATATTCCAGGAGAACAAAGCTTCTCCTTTTATAAGTTTGAAGAATTCTAGGCTAAATCATACTAAGCTAAATAGGTTCATCTGCTGCAAATTTTTGGAAAATTTCCTTTTTTTTTTTTTAATTTTTTTTTTATTGGTTGTTCAAAACATTATAAAGCTCTTGACATATCATATTTCATACATTAGATTCAAGTTGGTTATGAACTCCCAATTTTACCCCAAATATAGATTGCAGAATCACATCGGTTACACATCCACATTTTTACATAATGCCCTATTAGTAACTGTTGTATTCTGCTACCTTTCCTATCCTCTACCATCCCCCCTCCCTCCCCTCCCATCTTCTCTCTCTACCCCATCCACTGTAATTCATATCTCTCCTTGTTTATTTTCCCATTCCCCTCACAACCTCTTATATGTAATTTTGTATAACAATGAGGGTCTCCCTCCATTACCATGCAATTTCCCTTTTCTCTCCCTTTCCATCCCACCTCATGTATCTGTTTAATGTTAATCTTTTCTTCCTGCTCTTCCTCCCTGCTCTGTTCTTAGTTGCTCTCATTATATCAAAGAAGACATTTGGTATTTGTTTTTTAGGGATTGGCTAGCTTCACTAAGCATAATCTGCTCTAGTGCCATCCATTTCCCTGCAAATTCCATGATTTTGTCATTTTTTAGTGCTGCGTAATACTCCATGGTGTATAAATGCCACATTTTTTTTATCCATTCATCTATTGAAGGGCATCTGGGTTGGTTCCACAGTCTAGCAATTGTGAATTGTGCTGCTATGAACATCGATGTACCAGTATCCCTGTAGTACGCTCTTTTAAGGTCTTCAGGAAAACTGGAAATCCATATGCAACAAAATGAAACTGAATCCCCTCCTCTCGCCATGCACAAAAGTTAACTCAAAGTGGATCAAGGAGCTAGATATCAAATCAGAGACTCTGCGTCTGATAGAAGAAAAAGTTGGCTCCGATCTACATATTGTAGGGTCGGGCTCCAAATTCCTTAATAGGACACCCATAGCACAAAAGTTGATAACAAAAATCAACAAATGGGACTTACTTAAACTGAAAAGTTTTCTCTCAGCAAGAGAAACAATAAAAGAGGTAAATAGGGAGCCTACATCATGGGAACAAATTTTTACTCCTCACACTTCAGATACAGCCCTAATATCCAGAGTATACAAAGAACTCAAAAAATTAAACAATAAGAAAACAAATAACCCAATCAACAAATGGGCCAAAGACCTGAACAGACACTTCTCAGAGAAGGACATACAGTCAATCAACAAGTACATGAAAAAATGCTCACCATCTCTAGCAGTCAGAGAAATGCAAATCAAAACCACCCTAAGATACCATCTCACTCCAGTAAGATTGGCAGCCATTATGAAGTCAAACAACAACAAGTGCTGGCGAGGATGTGGGGAAAAGGGTACACTTGTACATTGCTGGTGGGACTGCAAACTGGTGCGGCCAATCTGGAAAGCAGTATGGAGACTCCTGGGAAAGCTGGGAATGGAACCACCATTTGACCCAGCTATTGCCCTTCTTGGACTTTTCCCTGAAGACCTTAAAAGAGCGTACTACAGGGAAAATTTCCTTTTTTTATGCACATTGGGACAATCTGAGGATGGAAAATAGTTTGCTCACAGACCTCTTTTATCTCACAGGATTCCCAGTGACTTTTCCCAGAATGGTGGTCCATAGAATTCAGTTTGAGAAACACCACATTCAGAAATTAGGCTGGGGATGGATTATGTGATATCCTGTTACTTCATAGCCTATTTCCGCAGGCAAAACCAGTCTTGTCACTCTGTCTCTAGCAGATTAGAATGTTCCTCAAAGCTACATTCCTCAGCCTTCTTTGCATCCAGATGTTGGCATGTGGCCAAGTTCTGGATCTCCTGCATAACATAGAAGTGATAAATATGACTTTTAGTTCACATTTTCAATTGTAAAGCTGATTTCTCTCTTCCTTTTAATCCTTTCTAATGGGTCACAGTAAAGATATGGAAGGGGCGACTCAGCTTGGACCTTGTGTAAGTGGTATAAAACCCTCCAGAGGATGTAGAACAACTAGATAGAAGGGATACATAGATGATCTCACAGTGGCCCCCACCTGCCTACCTACTCAAAAAGCAAATGTCCCTTTTGTTTGAGTCCCATTGTATTTTGAGGTCTGTGTGTTATAGCGTGTTTGCCTGTATCTTGTCCAGCAGTGGACCAAGCCAGTCAAGAGTCTCTAAGAAATTGAGACATAGTGAGAGGGATGTTATTGGAAGCTCTCAAAAAGTGATACTGCAGAAGCCCCAAGAATGGTTACCCAGAGTTAAAACCTGGAAGAGAAGAACAACCAAGACATGGATGTGGGCTATTTTATAGAGCATAACTATTTACCTTGTGGTCACTTGGCTTCCACACACCCTTTTCATTTCTGGTTAGCAGTCCAACTTTGACATTATGACTTCCCTAAATAAAGCCTTTCCTTCTTTTGTCTGCACATAAAAAGTTTATTCTTTTTACTGTTCATTTGGTGCTCAAATATTCTTTGTGTTAGAGTTTTTTGTGTACTGTTATATAGACATGTCTGTCTCTCCCACTCGTATTCTTTCTCTATGCATTGTAACTCCTGAAGAGCAGGAATCACATCTTTTATATCTTTGGGCATATATATTTTTTGGATTTGTTTTGCTAGTACAGGTGCATGTAGTTGTGTTAAATGAATGAGGTACGAGAAGAGTGCTATCATGAGAAATGTTGATCTACACCAAGGGTTGGTAAACTTGTCCTGTGAAGGTCCAGATGATAAACACTGGAGGGGTTGTAGCCTCTGCCTTTGTCTCAACTACTCAAATATGCGATTGTAGTATAAAAGCAGGTGTTTAAGTGAATGGGCATAGTTGTGTGCCAGTAAATTTATTTTAAATAATGGCAGCAGATATGGCTCATAGACTGTAGTTTGCCAACCCCTGTTCTGTAGACTCTATGGATTTTAATAGCAATGATAGAAATGTTATGACAGAAGATTTATTCAGGTCTAGAAATCCAATGTATGTATAGTGGGATGAGTTAAGTGAGTACTTTAAGGATACATCATCAAATCATGGTACTGTACATGGAGCTGGAATAATAAGAATCAGTTACAATGGAGTGTGAGATGTGTGGCAGTTTCAACAGTTTTCTGTAGTTAGGCTTATACCTAACCATGAGGCCTCCGTGCCCTGCATGTATGAGAGAAGAGAATGAGAAGGCTGGGACTAAGCTGTGGAATGAGTTGCCATCTAAAGTTGAGGGATGAATCAGAGTCCTGTGCTGAGTTTTAATTATTGGAAAAGTGGCACGATGGACGAAAAGGTGAAGGCTTTGAGAATGTTTAAGAGGAAATTTGTGGACTATCACAGGTGTTTATTCTAATAGGTTTATTTCTCTTTAGAATTATTATTAAGCCAGGGATGTGACTTGCCTTTCTTCTGGGCCCAACATTAGAACTATGGTCAGTATGTATGTTTTTCCTGGTTTTACTTCCTCAAGCCTTTATTTTTTTAACCAAAAATGACTTTTCTATGTCTTTATTGTTTAGAATAAGCTGCACTGCTGAAACAAAAAGACTCAATAATAATTAAAAGTCTATATTATTAATAGACTTAACTTTTCTCTTTTAGGAAATGGTTCTGAGATGAACTTTATGGATCAAGCAGTAGCTGTGCTCCACATTTAGTGATGCAGGGACCTAAGATGACCTATTCTTATGTCATCTTCTACACTTGGCTTCCAAAGTTAAAAAAGCAGAGAGTTTTTAGTCTCTTAAGGTACTATGGGATAGGCTTGGAGAGGTATTACATGTCCAGTAAAACTTGTGGAAGAAGAATGAATTTCAGTGGACAGTTAGCTGTATATACCGCTGTCCTCTTGGCCAGAAACAGGGTAGTTTTCTTTTTGGTATTGCAAAATTTCCAAGGCACTATTGATCCCCAATTATAAGGGGTTCCTAGAAATAGATATTTACAGGAAAACTTCATTTCTTCCTAAAAAAAAAAAAAAGTAAAAAGGAAATGGCAGAACATCAGCATTTTTACTTTGCGCTAGAGCAGGAACATTTGACACCTTGCTGGGCTCATTATAAGCTGCCCTCCAGGGTGTAACTTAATAGGAAGGGGGATAGTCTCACTTGTACATTCTAAGCTAAGAAAGAGAGAGAAATAGCTATCATGGTTCAGTTAGAACTCGAAGCCAGAATTTAAGTTTATGTAATGATACCTGATAAGGAAGAAAAGATACAGCTAAGAAAAGATGCTGACATTGAGATTTGAGGGAAGGGCTTCCTTTACAGGAATTGTGCTTATTAGGTGAATGAACAATAGTAAAAGTTATAAAAGTGTCATGAGTATTTAGTGCATGAATTTAATGGCATTTTGTAGGTCATAGTCTAAAAGGAAATCCTACATTGTTTGAAAGATGCCAACTTACTGTGTCTTAGAATAAAAGTTATGTTTGTATGTTGTATGAAACTGAAACTAATCCACTAGTTCAGGGTATATTAGGAAGAATTATTAGCTTAACCTTGTATAGTGTTTCCTCACCACATTGTTTACTTAATCACAATTTTTAGGTTTAGACATGTGCTTTTTAATTTTAATTTATCAGGCTTGGATATCGCTATTAAACAGCCTTAAATGTATAACTTTGCATTATTAGAAATGTTTTCCTTTCCTATTACTTTTCATGGTACTTACATATAATTATTATTTTATACAATGAAATGACAGATTGCTGTAATACACATCCTTGAACTTGGACACTACATAATTGTGAAATGTTGCAAGGCTTCAATTAAAACATTGTTCTAAAGGGTTATACTATGTAATATATACATATATATGTAATTCTACAAGTGTATACTATTATTACTGATATAAACTGTACCTGACCTGGTAATGTCAAAACATAAAAGATCATTGTAGATCACGTGTCTTTTTCTATAGGCTTATTTTCCTTATCCTACACTGCAGTGGAGTAATCTGGTAAGCATATATTGCTTTAAAGATAGTAAAAGAAAGTCAACTTTGCAATGCTAGAAAGAGGTAGCTTCTCTTAATGGGGGAGAAAAGTATAAGAATGAGCACATCCTGACCTGGTCATTGTGTGCAAAGGATCTGTGTTTCAGTTCACCTTTGTGCCACCCATGAATGTGGGGTTCCAGAACACCAGTGTGGCACCTCACAGATTGAAAGGGAATGCAGCATCCTGGTCACAGCAGGCGATAGTTCCTTTACTACATTATATCAGGATTGTCAGACTGCGTAAGAGGTATTGTGTTTTATTAATAGGCAATACTTTAAAAAGGATACTGACACGTTGATGAAGAGGGAGGTGTGTCAAGAAGGCGATAAAAAGATGTTGAGGATTCATATAGGAAATGATTAAAGGGGCTGCATGTTTTTAATCTGGTGAAAAGAAAGCAAAGGGAAAGTAAGCTATTTGTATTCAAACGTCTGAGACAGTATCCTCTCAAGTTAGTGGTGCTGTGTTGCTTTAGAGCAAGGAAACCACTCTAAGATTGGGTAGAATAGGTCAGCAGAATTCATCTCAGTGTAAGGAACGGGTTGTCCTTCTGGCTGTTGATCAGTAGACTACTTCTTGAAGTACAGGACTCCTGTGTTACCAGAAGAACAGAGGCAGAAGCTAGAAACCACTGGAGGACCCACCAGTACTGTGGCAGCCTAGTGCTGCAGAAGCCATGGAGAGGGTGGGGTCCAGCGTCACTGGAGCCTGTTAAGGGATTACACCAGAACCAGGAAGAAACCCCTTTCCTTCTTCAGTGTCCCTCCAGTGCCCTCTATTGACAAGACTTCAATGCCAGCCCACAAAGGAAAAGTATTTAAAGACCCAGATCCATTTTCACAGAGCAGTCAAAAGGGTAAATTTAAAGCGGACAGGCAATACATTGATAACCATTAATGTTGTTTTCAGTGATATTGTAGGGGTGAGGTAGCACCTCAGCACCTGTGCAACACTTGAAGGTGGCAACTGCTGCACCTGAACATGGCCAAGATGGTCAAGTCAAGGTAAAATAGGAGACAAGGCTAGACCATGGTCGGGGCACTAGTATTGGAGTGATAGTTTACCAGAACAGAAATCAAGGAAGCATCACTTGGCTGTTCCAGGAACTTAGAATCCAAATCAAACATGGATTACATAAGATATGAAGATCTGAAAAAATTATGAGACTTACACATGTGTGAGGAAAGTAGGCTAAAAATAGGAAGAAGCCAAGAAGAGGACTTGAATAAGGGAAATTGGGACCTAGGACTGACCCACATCAAAAGAAGATGAGGTGAGGTGATCTTGATCCCTACACTTCCTTTCATCCCCCGGGTACTCAGAGATCCCGTAGGTACCCAGCTTTGATATCCATCACAAAGTCAAAAGCTACTAAAGTTTAGAAATTGATTCACTGAGATGCCTAGCTAAAAATTAGCCAGATGCCATCCATCCCTTGCACTTCCCACTCCTGCTTTGCCACCTTCTTTGCCCATCAAGAAAAAGTTTTGGATTGTTACAGTGCAGTAACTACTTAGTGGGAATGGTTTTGTTTTAGGCTTTTATTTTTATAGAATTATTAATCTTTCTGTGAAAGGTTTGGGTTTTGAATATGTGTGGGGAGGTTTTGCCTGGAAGCAGTGTCAGCACTCTGCCCATGACTGTCGCTTAAGCTTGGCTGCTCTGCTCTCAAGTTATGGGCCTTCTTTCCATATGAATTCACTTCATAATGAATCCAGGCATATTCATTTAATTAGTTTATTCTGTTTAGTGAGATTGTACTTCCATTTAATTAACGAAGTTGGCATTTGTGCCAGTAAGTAAGCCTTGTAATCAACAGTGGTTGTAATGCCTGCAATTGTGGGAAAACATCAAAGTCAAATCTTTCTGGGAGAGAAATTTTACCAATGGAATGTACTGGGTTAGGAGGAAATATCTTCATATTTATGGCTATGTATTTAAATTAAGCTTTAGGCATTATAAAAAAAGTCTTTCATAGGTGCAATAGGGACCATTAAAATTTTGTGTAGTAATGTTCTTGATTTTGAAACTTTAGAAAACAGCTTTGTGGTCTCCACCCTTCACTTTGCTTTTCTGGGAACTTCCTTACTCTTATCTACATGGTTCAGCAGATTTGGCCATCTTAGTACAACATGACCTTCATTCAATTTGTCACCTGACCTAGGAATATGGAATTGAGTCTAGGATTCCTAACTCCACCAGCAGCCCTTTTGAATAGTGGAGTCTTACCTGAAGTTGTTAGGTAGTGACCATTTTCTATCATACAGACCAGAGAACAGTGAAAATCAATTCACAGTAGCATGCAGAATAATGCTGATGTACAGAGTGGAGGAGAATAAAATGTGGATCAAGAGGACTCCCTTGCCCCAGTATTACTCTCTAGTCCCTAATTACAGTCCATTCCCAAGGTTTCATTGAATCCTTCTATTTAGGCTCCATGAGAGACATGCTTGTATCCTTTGGGTAAATTTCCATTCTTGCTTAAACTAAGTAAATGTTTATTCCTGTGGTACAAATAATAAATATATGTGAAGTAATTAGACAAAAAACGAAGATCTTGGTAGAGAGTGGGCAAAGGACATGAGTGATTCTAAAAAGAGAAAAAAGATAAATAAACATATGAAGAAAGATCAGCCGCATTGGTAGCAAACAATTACAAAAACAATAAGACAAAGGAAAATATTTTCTTTTGGGGGGAGTGGTTATCAAATTGGGGGGAAAAAAGAGGGATACTAGTGAAAGCATGAAGGATAGCATGGTATGGAAACTCCCTAGACTGCTAGGGAGAGTGTCAAGTGATTGCATAATTCATGGTCCCAACAGGAAACAGATGGCCCACTCAGATTAGAATAATTAAAAAAGAGTTTCTATACAAAGGATTATTCACAGAGATGAGGGTATAGGAGAACCATTAGGATGGTGCAGTAACCTGGGACTGATATAGGTGGGGAAAGAGGTGCCAGAAGGAGTTAGGGCCATAACCCTGAGTCAAGGGCCAAGCCAGATACTCAGAAATTATTAATCATTCCTTTAAATATTAACATTCTAACATTTATTAGAACTGAAATTGTAAAATTCTGAATCTAGGCTAAGACTTTAGTGCTTAATGAATGAGCAAGCCCATATATACATATTATATTCCCAGCTATTGAATTCAGCACCCCCTTCGTTTCATTAATAATAATATATAATGATAGCTCATATTCAGCATGTGCCATACACTGTCAAAAGCTCTTTCCTGGGAGGAAGTGCCAGTATTACCACTGTACTTCTATCAACTGATGAAGCAACCAATGCCCAAACCCTACCTGTCTCCTGTAAGACCTGAACCCCCAATAGCTAGTCTGCTTTGTTGTAGAGGTATGTCTCTTACTTTGAAAACAAACGAAGCATTATCTCTTCAGGTTTTGATTATGTTGATTCAGTTGAAGAAGAGCTTCAGATGTTGCTAAAACTTGATTCACATTTGAAAATGAATGCTTGAATTCTATAAGAATTATGCAATTAAATTTTAAAAGATACCACAAAGATGACCTAGTCATACTAGTTTCATGTTAAAGATATAAAAGTATAAACTTTCTTAAAATTTACTTTAGAGCTTCCAAGGAAACAGATAATTAAATAAACTGCTGAATAAAGTTCCACGTGTACTTTTTTTTTCTGTCAAAAGAAGCAGTTGGACCTTCAGTCTCCACAGCAGAGTCAGCCACAACCCCAGGAAGCCAAGAAGATGAAGAGATGAAGGGCTACTCCCCTTCTGCAGCAGCACTTAAAACAGCTTCCGCTATAGCCAATGTCACCGATTATGACCAGGAGAGGGTTACAGGACTCACAGTTCTCTGAAAAGGATGAACCGTCTTACCAAACCATTAAAAGCCATACAGTCTCAAAGAAAATTGACAGGAGAACACAAGAGTCTCCAGCAGAGGCAAGTGAAGATCCTGTAATTAGCCTATGTAGACCCCCTCTAAGAAACCCCAGATCTGATTCAGCTTACAAAACCAACAGAAATACTAAAATGAGTGAATTATAAATGGCCAGTTTCCTGCAGAAGGTCAGTTCTCCAAAGAAGGAGAAACCAAAGATGATGATCAAGATAGCTGTTACAGTGATGTCACTACCATTAAGGTCAGATCCAGGGATTCTTTTGAATCTGGAGATTATCTGGTCAACATTCAGAATCACTTTGGAGATTATCACAAAGTCAAAACTTCACAGTTTATGAAAAACAATTTTCAGTTCTGAGCTCAGGATATATAAAAAAAATCCTCAGGAATGTATTGAATAAAATGTAAGAATGAGGACTAGGATGCAAAATGACAGTGTTCAGAAATCAGTGTTTATAAACCACTCTCCATCAACATCCAGCCAGTCAACAAATGACTGAACAAACAAATCTTTTCTCAAGAGGAAATGGGGGTAGTGGCTGTTTTAGTTACTCTCGCCTTCGGGAGATTTTGGTTCCTTCATACTTCCGAGGTAGGAACCACTGCTATTCAAGAATTCCAAAACCAGATGCAACAACTTACGACTAAGTACCAAGGTCAAAATGAGAACCTGTGGAAAAGGAGCCAAACGTTCCTGGAAAAACATCTTAGTAGTTCCTATCCTTGGAATCAGCCTTCTGTCTTACTGCTCACTGCTGCTCGAGATGCCCAAGAAGTGCTTAAGTGTCTGAGTGAACAAATTGCGGATGCCTATTCTTCCTCCCATGGTGCCCGTGCCATCTGGATTGATGGGACAGGCAAAGACAGTAATGTTGTCAAACTAGAGGTAGATCAGCAGCTGAGCAGTGGATTCAGAAATGGCCAGAATGCCGCATTGGTACACCGCTTCAAGTTGCTGCCTGCAAACTCTACTTTGATCTTCTATAAATATTGTGACTATGAAAATGCAACCTTCAAAGATGTAGCCATTGTTCTGACTGTCCTATTGGAGGAGGAGACACTTGGAACCAGTCTAGGCTTAAAGGAAATTGAAGAAAAAGTGAGAGATTTCTTCAAAGTCAAGTTCACCAACTCTAACACACCCAGATCTTACAATCACATGGACCTAGACAAACTGGATGGGCTCTGAAGATGAATTTCTTACTTAGTCCTGCCTGTGCAACCAGAAAATGCCCTGAAAAGGGGATTCTGCTTCTAATAGGTGAAAGAAGAGAAAATCATGTCTCAGGTTCTGAGAATTTTTCAATACTTTGTATCCAGAAAGCAAAATTCAGAACACTTTTGGAAAGAACTGGTTTCTTTTTAAAGGAAGTTCATGGATCATCTGAATCATTTATTTAACCTAATTATCTGTGACTTGTGAAAATCATTTCTCTGTTTCTATTGAGAGCTGTGTTAAGGGTATTTAGGAGAATAAATTATATGCATCCTGTAGAGGATCTGTTTTGATTCTGGACTGTCTTTATTGCTGCAGGGTGCCAGTGAGAGGAGTTAGGCTCCTTTCCAAAGAACAGTCACCGCTTTTTAACTTAGATTTCTCACTGTTTGTTATTAGTAAGGCAGCTCTCCGATTGTAACCACAGACTTTCCCATTATGGTTCCTTTTATACTGTTGAGATGTGAGTTTCCTAGTCAGCTTCTGCTTGTAGGAACAAAAGTAATGAGAAGTCATCTGGGTGTGTATTTCCCTTTTGTTTTTGGAGGATGAGGAGGAGGAAAGAGAAGAGAGGAATTGTGGAAAATGCAACAGAAGAGAAAAAGTCTTCAAGATGAAATTCTTGAGTCTCCCAAGGATTTGTAAAGCCTATATACCATGAGGTTTAATATATTTGCTCATTTGACTGTTATTTTAGACTTAACCAGAAGTTAAGTTTTTTTGTTTGTTTATTTTTTAATAAGCAATATGGTTTCAGAAATTGGCACACAGTTTGTTAACCAGCCATCCTGGGCTATTGAAGAAGGATTTAATTTTCTGTTTGTCCATTTTTTTTTTTTTTAGTCTAAGTCCTTTTGTGACACTCTGACACAAATCTAAAGATTTACTATTCACATGATAAATTTTATTAAGAGTGCCTCAAGCTAAAAAGATAGTAAACTTACCACAAGTGAAGAATGTTAGATGTATTTTCTATAGTGCTGTAGTATTTTACTTGTAACTTTGCATCGAAATGAGCTTTCTCAAACCTTTCAACGTCTTTGATTTTTATAAAATATTATAATTCTGGACTCACCTATTTTGGCCACAGGCCTTTAATGAAAAGATTGTTTTTAGAGTATTAAAGGCAGTCACTAATTTTATCATTTATTCTTTGAGGGTCTCATAACTGGTAGCAGAGAGTAGTCTAATTTCTTTCTATTAGGACTGTCAGTATTCATAAATCTATACCCTTTATTTTAATTTGTTGTTAACTAGTTAGATAATCTGATTTATTTTATAGAGAATCCTCTATAAAACAGGAGTTTTGGAAAAGGCTTATTTTATACAAGCATATTATATGGAGAAATATTTTTATTAAATATTTCACTGACCCCAGTAATTTTATGTCTTTCAGGATAAATAATTGAAGCAGCTTATGTGTAAAGGACTCTAAAAGCCATTTTAGTAATTTAAATAAGCTTACTTTTTTTAGTTTAAAGGAACAACAACGAAGCAGTTGGTTTTACAGAAAAGGAAATTAATTAACTTTAATTAATTAAAATACTTTAATTCTTCAAAAAGTCAGATGTCAAGTGCAACTTTAAATAATCAGAATATTGGGCAAAGAACTTCAAAATAATTGGGGTTAGTATTGTATTTGTAGCAAGATGTATCTCCTTTCAGTCAGTCAGCCCCCACCCTCGCCGCTGCAAGGAAAATAGTCCAGCATCTTACATTTTGAAGTTATTCCATGAAATGCACATAAACTAATTTATAGTAATGTAGTTCTTGAAATCTGAATGGTTGACCAATGTATGAAAATGTGATAACTTGTTAAGAGTAACTTATTACAAATTACTCACTATACTCAGAATCTCATGCAATTGCTACATGGCATTGTCATACAGTTATTTATCTTTTATAGGTGGGCAAATTTGAAACCTAAGAATGCTAAAACATTTACATAATTAATAAATAGTGGAGCCAGGGCTTAAATACAGATTCTCATAATTAATCCTGTACTGGCAATAAAATTATATTGCCCCATTTTTCTCCTCTCTTTTATAAAGCTCCAAAATAAACTAGACTTGGGCAAACCCGATTAATCCCATGAAGGCAATCTACTTAATTCTTAGATGATAAAATGAATGAAACAAGTAACTAGAAAACCCATCTCGCTAGTTGAAGGTACCAGAATTTCCATATCCTAGTTTCCTTCTGTTTGCATATCCAGATCCTGTCCATTAGAGTCCAGCCTCCAGTATTCCTTAATAACTCTTCATCTAAAACTTGATTTGACTGTTTTCATTGCCATTGATTATGTTATGCAGACCACTGATTTTTCTGTGATTTGTACTTTTTAATTCATTTAGACTGAACATTTTCTGAGGTCAGGGACTGTATGTGATATTTTTGTTTTGTACTTTAAAATTCATAGTTTTGCATTTGAAATCCAAAGTGTGTGAATTGGATTTCTTCCACAGCATATTTATTTGAAACCCTGATTAAACCCAACATGTAAAGCAAATCAGGACCACCACATAGTATCGTGCAGGTTCTGCACTTGCTCAAGGGTGCTTCATGGAAGAGGTGGCATTTGCATTGTGGATAGGTAAATTTATGATACTTTTTCTGGCAAATGATGATTAATGTATTTGAAGAAGGAGAACTGAGTTCTGAATTTATTAAATACCCTATAAGAGTGTAAAATTTCTACTCACTGCCACATAGGAAAGATTTGTGTAGCCAGGCACACTGGTACACACCTGTAATCCCAGCAACTTGGGAGGCTAAGGCAGAAGGATCACAAATTTGAGGCCAGCCTAGTCAATTTATCGGGACCCTCAATATTTGGACAACACTGTCTCAAAATAAAAAATACTAAAAAATAGAACTTGGTCGTAAGTCAGTGGTAAAGCGACCCTGGGTTCAATCTCCAGTACCAAACAAAACAGAACAAACAAACAAGAAAATAAAAAAAAAACAAAAAATTTGTGGATTACAGTCAACTTTGAGTTTATTCAGAGAATGGATCAAGATAAAAATGACACTTAAAGCCTAAGTGAAAATGAGAGGGAAAAATCTATAAAGTAACGAATCTCTATAAAGTAACATAAAACTTTTTCAAAAGTTACTTTTACAACAAGTCTGAAATAAAAGTTAATGGGAAATGATTTATTTTTGGCAGCAGGGTGCTGGGTCTCCATCCCAGGGCCTCACACATGCTAAGCATACGCTGTACCACTGAGCTATACCCCCAGGCCCAAGAACATTCTTTCAAGATTCTAGGGCTGTGAGTGTATCACAGTGATAGAATACTTGCCCAGCATGTGTGAAGTCCTGGGTTCAGATCATAGCACTGCAAAGAAAAAAATTTTAAATGAGAAATATCCTTTAAATGACTCCTTTATAACACTGTGAAAGGGTTGCATAGTTACTGTGATCAAAAGCTTAACCTTTTCTAAGAAATGGGCCCATATAAAAACAGATACAAGCTTCTGCTAGAAGCTTTATAGAAAATTAAACTCAAAAATACCTTTTAATATTTCCTAAGTAATGACTTTGCTGCCTTGATTTTACTGAAAAAAATTCTCACAGAAGAAAATAAAAAACTTGTTAGCTATTTTATTTGATTTGAAATAATTAGAAGCAAAATCCCAAGTGGTTAATGGCTATAATATGAGCTAAAGTACAGAAACCTTAGAGCTGCATCTGGTATCTAATGAACAGATCTAAAAATGTTCATTTGTTTAAGGAGCTAATTTAATTGCTTAGTTCAGCAGGAGCTTTACCTTTTCAGCTGTAGAAGTCAAATTACAAATTCTTGATGGCCTCTTGATTTTAGTGTCTTAACAGAAGGGTAAGGTAGAATTAATGGCAGATGAACTGGCAAACATATATATATATATATATATATATATATATATATAGTATCAACTGTTTCTCAGATTTAAAAATATTTCTGTTAAAAGATGACACATGGAGGTCAGGATGAAATTTTGCAACCTGTAACTGTCTCTCATTTTGCTATGATGATGTGTATTGGCAGGTAACTATTTCCTTGGGCAGCATCTGAGAAGCTTCTTTGACTTTAGTGAGAAAGAGTACCATGTCTGTCACTAAAGTCAGTGCATTTTACTTTGTGTCAACCAGACACTTCTGTGTTTTCTGTGAAGACTTTGATGTTTGTATTTTTCAGCTAAAACCATCAGCTTTTGGAAAAGTTTGGTATTGGACACAGCCATGATCCCATTCCCATCGAAGAGTCCTCTGCTATTTTTATCTCTTATGAAGGGCTACATTTGTCAGTTTCAGTACAGACACAAATCTCTCTCCTTACACATTAACATCTTTCTCTTGGCTCGTAAGTGTGAAATAAGTCATTTGGCCTTACTGTCATGGCTGTCAAAAAGACAAGCGCCTGGGTCTGTGTCACTGTGAGAGCTTTCAACCACCCACTCCACTAGTTCCTAGACTTTGCATTTTAACCCTGTTTCTGTTTATTTATTAGGTACTGGGGATTGAACCCAAAGGCACTTTACGAGTGAGCTACATCTCCAGCCCTTTTTGTTTTTCATTTCAAGACAGGGTCTAGGTAGGTTGCTTAGGTAAGTTGCTGAGTAACATGCAACCCTCCTGCCTTAGCCTCCCAAGTAGCTGGGATTACAGATGTGTGCTACTGCGCCTACCTTAACTCCTGCCTTAAATAGTTGTCTACACGTTTTGTAACTCAAGATTTTTGTCGGGATTGAGTAGAATATGAAGAATGAATTCTCTGCTTTCTTGTTTTCCTGAGCTGCTTTCTTCCACCATGATATTCTGCCTCATCTGGGGCCCAGAACTACGGAGTCAGCCAGCTATGGATTAAGACCTTTAAAAATGTGAGCACCAAATAAACTTTTCCTTCTCCAAGATTTTTTTTTTTTTTGTCAAGTCTTTTGGTCACAGAAACACAAAAAGCTGACTGAAACAGAAAGTGATACTGAGAAATGGGGTCACTGCTGTGACTACTCTGACTCCACGTGGTTCAGAAACCTTTGGGGCTGCTTTCTGGGTGGAGGAATTTTTGAAAAGTTTAGAGATGCAAGCTGGAAAAGCTTTAGAATATTGTAAATGGAGTTCATTGGGTGATTCTGATGGGAAGACCAGAATGCTGATAGGACTGTGGACAGTAAAGACTAGGCCCATGATGTTTCAGAAGAAAAGGAGGACTATTGGAAATTGAACTCGAGGCCATTCATTTTACATTCTGGCAAAGAAGTTGTCCACATTTTGCTCATGTCCTGAGACTTTCTGTATGGTTGAATTGAAAGATGATGGACTAATTAATCTGGTGGAGGAAATTTCAAGGCAGCACAGCATTTACATGGTGGGTGGATATTACTGACATCTTTTAGCCAAGTTTACTGTGATAATCAAGAACAGAAAGCAAAGAATAAATATTTGAAAAACTTTCAGTTTGGCCAGTAAATTGCAAGTAAAACTGGGGCTAAGGAAACTATGGTTGTTAAATAGATTATAGCCACTAAAAACATGCTAAGTACTTTAGCCAGAAACAATAGTAAATCTGGCTTGAGGACCTCTCAGAAGTTGGCAAGTCAATACTCATCTCAGACTCAAGGGTTTACAAGTAAAAATTCCTTTGAGAAGAGGCCATGGGGCATCCTACTTGCACAGAGGGTCCCAGGAAGTTTTTCCACCATGCTCAGTTGCCCAGGAATTCAGATGCTGCTACAAACATTGTTAAAGAGGCTTGGCTGTTGCTCAAGATGATAAAAGACCTTGGTGGCAACCACATGATATTGGTTCTGTAGGAAGACAGGATGCTAAAGTTAGTGGGTCATGGAGGTTTCCTCCAAGATTTTACAGGCACAATGTAGCAGGGTTGGAGTTCCTGCAGCCTGCCCTGATAGAGTGATGCATGAAGATCTGAGAAGGAAGCCAAAGCTACAGTTGAGAAACCCCTTCCCCAGAGTAAAAGACGCTGGTAACCTGGATCATCTGCTGAGGAAAGCTGCAGGAATCAAGCAGATATAAGCCAAGAGGGAAGCCATGTGGGCTACAACTAGCAAGGCCATAAGCGCAGAGGTAAATAAGCCTTTTGAAGAGAGCATCACAATACCAAATGTGGATGTGGAACTGCAGAACTTGTTTGCCTAGCTGAATTTTGATCTTGCTTTGGTTCCATCCCTTCTTTCTATCCCTGTTTCTCCCTTTTGGAATAGAAATATTTACTCTGGGCCATTATATATTGAATATATGTAACTTATTTTTGATTTTTACAGGGGCTCACAGTGGGAGTTTGTTTTGTGTCTCACAGGAGACTTTGCCTTTGACTTTTGTCAATGCTACAACTTTTAAGACTATGGGATTCTTGGAAATGAAGTAAATGTATTTTGCATTAGGAAATGGCCATGAACTTTTGGGGCCAGGGGTGAAATGTTAAGGTATGGATATGCAATGCCCCCCAAAATCTCATGAGTGAGACAGTGCAAGAATATTCAGAAATAAAATGATTAGATTATGAGAGTTGTAACCTAATTAATGGCTTGATTTACTGATATGGATTAACCAGATGGTAACTGTAGGCAGAGTAGGGTATGTCTGGAGAAGGTAGGTCATTGGGGGCATGCCTTTGGGGTATATATTTTGTCCCTGGTGAGGGGAGCGCACTACCTATCCAATTCTTGGTTGCAATATCCTAAGCTACTTTCCTCATTCATGCCCTTCTGTCTATTTGTTCTGCCTCATCTTGTGCCCAAAGCTAAGGAGTTAGCTATGGACTGAGACCTCTGAAACCCTGAGCCCAAATAAACATTTCCTCTTTTTTTAAAAAAAAATTGATAATCAAACCTGCAAAGTCATTGCAACAGGATTTTTCATTATCTAATTTATCAGGAAAGAAATAGAATAGAAGTTTTTGAAAAAGGAACAATGTTAGAAGCGACTTGCTCTTACAGGTGTTATCTAAGGCAAACACAATTAAAACATTGTAGCATTGATCTAGGAATATCTAGATGGATCAGGAATTGGATGAAACAAGCTATGTATTAATGGGAATGTAGTATATTATAAAAGTGAAATTTCAGATCAGTAAGAAAAGGGTAGATTACAGAGTCAATGGTTTGGGGATAATTGATTGTGCATTTGGAGAAATAGAGAAGTGTAAATTCCTTTCACATTCACAAAATTTCACATGGATTTAAGAACTCAATATGAAAACCTAGAACTACTAGAAGAATGTATAGAAAAGTACAACTTTACGAACTATAAAATAAAATTGATAAATTTTATATTAAACTTATTATACCAGTTATATCATAAAGTTGTTAAATTTTCTTTGTAGTTGTAGATGTTTATTTTTATGGGGTGCTAAGGATTGAACCCACGTGCTAGGCAAGCACTCTATCACCGAGCTACAACTACAGCCCCATTATAAAGTTTTAAAGGTATGTGTGGTTGTTAACATATTTGTGAAACTCCTACTAAACATAATTTTCATGGTTACATAATATTTCATAATGCAACTGTAACATTGTTTAGATAATAGTTTTCAGTTACATTTCAGGCTCTCCTATAAAATTCTTTAAATTCTTGAGTAAATTTATGTTTTCTAAAAGGTGATATGGATTGAATATTCCTTAACTGAAATGCCTGGGACAAAAAGTGTTTCAGATTTGAGGTTTTGAATTTTGGAATATTTGTGCAGTTTTTGCCATTTGAGCATGATTAATCCCCAAACCCCAGATCTGAAAAATCAACATGAATGTTCAAATAATTTTGCATTTTGGAGCATTGGGGTTTTTCAAATTAGAGATTATCAACCTATACTCTGAACTGGTTCAGATAATCGAATTAGAACACTCTCTTGATCTAGATACTTTTCTTTCTTGGAATTTCACATTTAATATTCTGATTTGGTTGAGAAATGCCTTTCTACATTTGTTCTTTTTTTGTACTAGGGATTGAATACAGGGGAGCTTTACCACTGAGCTACATCCCAGCCCTTTACTTTATATTTTGAGACAAGGTCTCACTAAGTTGCCAGGGTCTCACTAAGTTGCCAGGGTTGGTGTGGAATTTTTTATCTTTCTACCTCAGCCTCCAGAGGATCTAGGATTTATAGGTGTGGACCATCATGCCCAGCTATGTTTGTTCTTTTTGCAAAGTGACTTATAGCACTACATTTTATAATTATTTGTAGTTACTAATTTGTTCCCCACTTTTTTATTGTGATAAACCATCAGGAAAGATTTTTAGATTTAGGTAGTAGAATCTTGTTTTCAAGGTGTGTGTTAGGATGAAACCCAAATCATAAAGCATAAAGTAGGCACCCGTGATAAATGGTGTTGGGGTTCCAGACTCTGGTCTGTCTAGCTTTTCCTCTGGAAATCCCTACCAGGTTTAGGTCCCCTCTGCAGATTTCTTGGAACTTGCTTTGAAAACCATTGATTGATGGTAAAATTGCTTATGTGAAAAAAAAAAAAAAAAGCAATGTGTTGTCATTAGAGTAACAGACCCAATGACATTCCCAGGACTTAAACACCAGTCTTTTTTAACATGAATACATTGTGCTTCTTGCAGTTGTGTAAGCATGTTGGCGTTCTTCTAATAGTTCTCAAAGGATAACTACTGATGTGCTCATAAATTTCTTTGGAAGATAGAACCTAAAGTATAAGGTCTTTGTCTTCTTTTACTTCAAGATGAAGGTTATTATGCCTGCCCCAGGTGTTCCTCCTTGTGTGAATGAGTACTGTGAATGTTTCCAAAGAACTGTCTTTGCCAGAGGGCAGAGCAGAGCTGGTTTAGCTCCTTAACTGCACTGTGGACTTTACTCCCCACCCCCAGCAATAATTTTCAAGGAAGTCTGCAGAAAAATACTTGATCACCCTACCCCAGCACATGTTTGGGCATAGTAAATGTTCTCCCTCTCTATAAATCTGGATCCTGTGCCAGATACCTCGGGCTCACGTCCCACTTGCATTTCTTTAAAGCAGTAGAGAAAGCTTTTAGGTTTAGCAACGATTGAGAAGAATCCTACAAATAACTTGCATGTTAGTCACCTTCTGAATTATGATTGGAAACTGAGGTACAGCTATGGACTGTTTTTACTTACTTATGTATTTATTTATGATATTGGGATTGAACCCAGGGGCATCCTACCACTGTTATATCCCAGTCTTTTTTATTTTTAATTTTGAGACAAGGTCTCACCAAGTTGCTGAGGCTGGCCTTTTGAACTTATCTTCCTGCCTTAGCTTCCCAAACTGCTGGGATTACAGGTGTGCATCACTATGCCCTGAATACCGACTGTTTTATTAAGTTGAGTCTCTTCACTGGTGTTGTTCCCATGAATTCCTAGGTGAGGTTTAATTGCAGCTTGCTGCACCTAGCATATTTCTTTTTTTTTTCAAAAGGAATTTTTTGAACTATAACTTATTTAAATTTTTTTCTTATTATACATGACAGTAGAATATATTTGACATACATATATGGAGTATAACTTCCCATTCTTATGGTTATACATGATGTGATGCTTTTATCTCTTGGACTTTCTGATCAGTAAGATCTATGAGGGCAGGATTTATATCCTGCTTACTTTTGTATCCCCAGTGTCTGGCACAGGGCCTGCACAGAGCAGGGGCTCAGTGCATATTTCTAAACACCTGACTCCTGCCCATCTGCGGAGGAATCCTTCCACTTGTTTCTCAGCCATGGCCTTTATGACACTGCTTTATTGCCGGGCTTGGTGGTGCACACCTGTAATCCCAGTGGCATGGGAGGCTGAGGCAGAAGGATTGCAAGTTCAAAGCCAGCCTCAGCAAAAGTGAAACGCTAAGCAACTAAGTGAGACCCTGTCTCTAAATAAAATACAAAATAGGTCTGAGGATGTGGCTCCGTGGTCGAGTGCCCCTGAGTTCAATATCCAGTATGGGAAAAAATTTTTTTAAAAAAACCTGCCTTATCATATCTTAGATAAGCTGTTAGGAGCCTTTTTGTTTCTTCCCTCTAATTAAAATAGATCCAAAAAATTTCCATTAACCATTTTGTCCCATAGCTCTGCCGGAGTATGGCTGCAGCAAAATAAGGGGCGGGGGGGTGGGGGTTGACGAATAACTTGCTTACGTTGATACAGCAGGAGAGGGAGCCCTTTATTGCAGGACAGGAGCAGTATTTATACATTCCACACAGCTTATCTAATTAGCATAAACTAGACACATCAGTCAACCAATAAGGAATCTCCACACTTAATGGCTCGCTTTTGTTACTTCTCAAACCACTCCCTCTGGCATTTTGCCAGGCACCATCCAGACTTGTTTATGAACTCTAACATTCCCCTGGCAAAATGCCAGGTGTTATTTTGACTTGTTTACAGACTCTAACATAGCTCCCTTTTCTTTCTTTCTCACTCTTTTTCTTTCTTTCTCTCTCTCTCTTTCTTTCTTTCTCTCTTTCTCTTTCTCTTTTTCTCTCTTTCTTTCTTTCTGTAACTAAGGAGAAATACTCCATTAAGAGTAATTCATACAGATTATCTGTTTTTTTATTATTATCATCACTTTGTGAGGAGAGTATATTCTTAAAAAATAATTTTCTTTTGGGAGGCTGTTAGAATTATGCTAAGAATATCATTGTCTTTAGAATTATGCTAAGAATATCATTGTCTTTTGTTTTAGTAAGTTGTAACTCTCTAATCCTCAGTTTCTTTACCTATTAAAAAAATAAAAATAAGGGACTGAGGTTGTAGCTCAGTGGCAGAGTGATCGCCTAGCATACGTGAGTCACTGTGTTCTATCCTCAACACCACATAAAAAATAAAATAAAGATACTGTGTCCACCTAAAAATAAAAAATAAAAAACCCTTCAAAGATGTTGAAAAATTGAGGTACACTGAAAGTGTCTAATGAACAATAAGGTGCTTTCATCTGTTGTTACTGTATAATTGACTTCCTTTTACTTTTGTTTGCTTATAATTTAAGTCTTTTATACTACAGTTTAAAAATATTATTTGATTAGAACAAATGAAAACTACATCTAATGCAATTTCCATATCTTATCTAGCTGTTTTATGGGATTTTGAAATTGAGTTTCATTTTTATTAGAATACCCCTGTAAAGGAAAAAAGTTCTAAAAAAATATTTAGGTTTGATCTACAGATATAGCTCAGTGGTAGAGGAGCACTTGTCTAGCATGTGCAAAGCCCTGGATCCAATCTCCAGTACTGGAAAAAAAAAAGTATTTAAAAATTTAGTGTTTATTTTATTGGATTCACATTGCATATATGCTGAGTCAAAGAGGTGTACAAGACAGACATGGTGGTACATGCTTGTAATTCCAGTGACTTGTGAGAATGAGGCAGAAGGATCACAACTTTGAGGCCTATCTCAGCAACTTAACAAGGCCACAAACAACTTAGCAAGACCCTGTCTCAAATAAAAAGGGCTAAGGATGTGGTTTAGTGGTTAAAAGTGTCCCAGGATTCAATCCTTAGCACCAAAGTATGTGTCCAAATTACTATGAAAAATAGTAGGCCTCCGTGTACTTCCTAGAAGAAAGTACTTACTATTCTTAGCTAATAAGTTTTGTTTATCTTCATGGCTCTAAATGATGTGGGTACCTTGTTATGACTTGATATTTCAGTTTTAGACATTTTCTCTTAACTTCTATGGAAGATAAGGACTTGTCTATCTTCACTTCTGCATGAGCCTAGTCTCCTTTCTCTCTTTAAAGTGTTAAAAGCTTAGCTCAGTGTTTAGGCTTTGCTTGGACTTGACTATGTAAATGCTATTCACTGGTGAGCAACAGAAAACAATGATTATCTTTCTTTTCTGTACACTGTAAGTCTTGTCTGGAGTAAGAAATTGCTGATATGTGTGCACAACATATCCTAGTGTGCTTAGTTTTCTTCATACTGCTCAGCAATTCAATCTCAAGCATTCCTTCAGCTATATAAATTCCTTTAAGTACATTGAAACTCATCAGAAGTTCTAAGAGTTCATCATTAGTTCAACTAAGAATTTTTCTTGGAGCCCCTGACCTGCCTCCTATCCACTGCTCAGCTGCCACTTTGCTGTCCCCCTTCACCATCATCTTTTGTCATGTTGGGTTCCGATGCCAGACAGCTTTCTTGGTTAAACCATTTAAACTGGCAGAGCATGTCTTCCAGTGGAGAGGGTGTGAGCATGTTCTGAAGACTTTGCAGTGTGTAGTTTGGCTGCATGATCAACTTGAGATGGGAGAGCCTTTTCCTCAGCATTGTGGAGGCATTCCTCCATTATAGTTTAGCTTCCTTGTTATTATTCAAAGCCAGTGCCTTTCTGATTTTTGATCCTTAGTATGAGGCCTTTTTTAATTTAATTTCTGAAAGTTTGTAGAGTCACATCTCTATTCATGGTGGTCAGAAAGTTCTTAAAGATGCAACTTGTGCGTGTTGTCTCCATCATTGTGCTGGCCTAGGTTGGGCCTTTTAGTTTAGAAACATGTCTTGGCAGTTGTGGGAGAATTTTGGTTTTTTGTTGAATTGATAATTTTCTCCATTCTTTTTTTCTGTAATTGAGCTTCCTAGAACCCCCTTTATTTGGATAGTGGATCTCCAGGGCTCATCTTCTTATTTTCTATTATCCTAATCTTTTTTCTCTTAAATTTGTATTTCTTGGTTTTTTTCCTTCTTCTTTCTGGAAGAGTTTCTTAACCCAGTCTCTTAAATGTTTGTTTGAAGTTCTCCTTTCTGCTATTTAATTCTTTAATTTCCAAAAACTCTTGTATTTTTTTACTTCCCTGATTGAGAAGGCAGTGGGGAACCACAGGCCTGGAGCAGTGATGTGTACCTGTGATCCCAGCTGCTCAGAGATGGAGGAAGGAGGAGTATTTCAGCCCAGGATTCAAGACCAGACTGGGGCAACATAGCAAGACTCCACCCCAAAAGAAAAAAAAAAAGGTATTTTGTACACACACACAAATTTTAAAAATCTTGTTCTTGCTTTATAGAGGCCATGTCTTAGCTCTAAAGATATTAATGAGAGGTTTCATTCTGCCGCCTTATCCTTTGCTTACTCCAGATTTTTTTTTTTTTTTTTTGGTCTTGTTGCTCCGGCTTTTATGTTTGATGTGTGGTACTGAAACAGCTTATTGGAAACTATACAGTTAGATAAGTTTACCTGACAGCCAACACCCTTTGAAATATAGGTGCATTTTTCCTAATCTGCATTTCCAATTTTTTTTTTGTATTTTTTTTTTGTACCAGGGATTGAACTCAGGGGCACTTGTCCTCTGAGCCACATCCCCAGCCATATTTTGTATTTTTTATTTAGAGACAGGGTCTCATTGAGTTGCTTAGCACCTTGCTTTTGCTGAGGCTGGCTTTGAGCTCACAATTCTCCTGCCTCAGTCTCCTGAGCTGCTAGGATTATAGGTATGCGCTACCATGCCCAGCTGCATTTCCAAACTTTAAAGTTCTGAGCGCCAGTATCAATTTACAGATTATTAATTAAATGGCCCATCATTTATTATCATTATTTATTGAGGTGCTGAAAGTGTCCTAGATTTGGCTACTCAGGACCTCTCAGTTTGACTCTTGAATGTTTTTTTTTTTAATTAATTTATTTATTTTTTTAAAATATTTTTGTTAGTTATTGATGGTCCTTTATTTATTTATATGCATTGCTGAGAATCCAACCCAGTGCCTCACACATGCTAGGCAAGTGCTCTACCACTGAGCCACAACCCCAGCCCTTGAATTTTTTTTTTAAATGCCTTTATTTTAATGTGGTGCTAAGGATCAAACAAATGTGAAGCAAGTGTTCTGCCACTGAGCTACAGCCCCAGCCCCTCTTCATCTTTTTTATGTCTTCATGTACACTTTTATTTTATTTTTTATTTGCAGTACTAGGGATCAAACTTAGGACCTCACACATGCCAGGGAAGTGTTCTGCCACTGAACTACCCACTACCTCTTCCTATCATTCTTTGAGTACTTCCTTATTTTCTGGTGCAACTGGATATTTCAGGCTCATTTTCCGTTTTTCCAGCCCCAACCTTAGAATTAGCTTTTCCTTCAAAGAGCCAAGGTTTCTTGTGATGGTTTCTTGCATCTGGCTAGCTAGGTGTACAGCTTGCTACTAGTTGTAGCATAGCTCAGAAGACCAAGTGAAATAATGTATATTATTATTATTTAAATATATAATATATATTTAAAGTATTATTTCTTTGTATTTTATAACACACTGTATACATTTTATATGATGTACACATGCTACAAGTTCTTATTAAAACCAACAATTCTAATGTAACATCAAAGCTTACAGTCTCATCTTCCCCATTTACATATATATTTAACTGACTTCTCTAACAGTGAGGAACCTGTCTGCAATGATTTCGATACATTTGATCATTTGTTCCAGCAAAATACACAGAAAATAGTTTTAAAATCATTATTCCGTGTCATTGTAAAAAGTATACCTGTCCATGAGAACTCCATATTTGTTTATAATTATTTTTTTATTAATTTTTTATTTGTTTTAATTAGTTATACATGACAGTAGAATGCACTTATATACTTTGATATATCATACATAGATGGGATATAATTAATTTTTAATAAAATTTACATGCAAAGAAATAATACATCCTCTGTACACACTTTCATAAATTTGAAAATACATTAACTTGTGTGACATACCCCTCTAAAATATTTTCATTACAGTAGGAAGTTCCCTTGTGTTTTTTCTCAGCAGTTGCAGGAGAATTTAAGTAGTGACATATACAGTACGTAGATATTAGGAGAATAAGAGAGGAGAACACATTTTTAAGCTACATTTTGTTCTTTTTATGCATTTGCTTGAGAGACTCCACTAATGTTTTATATTTTCTTCATTTATTTATAGATAATAATAGTTTCTTTCATTGCTGAGAGTGTCAATGTTCACTTCAAGACTAGAGCAAGTTGGCTCTCTGAATGTACAAATATAAATGCATACATACATTTTTCTTTGTGTGGGTGGTGAAAGGGGGCAGTTTTT